AGAGTCCCTTTTGAAATGTACGGTACTTTTTAAATTAGAATTGAATTAGTTTAGTAACAGCTGAAATAAAGAATGTATGAAGACATTTCACCAGGTGTAGGCAGTCTGAGAACTCCAAAAGAAACTGTTTTTGTTTTGCTTTTTTTTTAAAGAATTTCAACTGTGTTGTTAAGATATTGTAAGTCACTGGTTGGTATCATTGTCCTCCCATGCGGTGTGCTCAGTTACACAAATGGCTGCTTTCTCCCAGTTGTAACGCTGCCCAATGGGGGTCTTTTCTGGTGGAGGTAGCGGTACTGGACACCATAATGTCATTGAGTATATTATAATGTGCAATATTACAGATAACACAGCTGAATATGTCTGATTGAGGACTTTTCATTTGAAAGCAGTGTGTATATCAAAATACTGTACGTGACTCATTCTTTCTGTTTGATACGAAGTAAATACACTGTAATTTCTTATGACAAGACCTTTTAATGTATTTTCTCTGACACTAGACACTTTTCATCATCCGGTTTACTTGGAAATACATAAAATCAAGGCAAGTCCTGTTATTTAACTGTAATTGGATTTGATGTATATGTTGGAAACACTACATCCACTTTGGTGGTCCTGAAAGGTGTTTTCTGTATTGTCTGCCATGTGAACATTTTATTTTTCCTTGACGCGTCTTTTTTCCAAGATGAGTCTTTCTTTTTACCATTACGGTGCACCAGCTTGTATGAATGTTCGTCTTAATCCTTTGAAGAGTACGATGCTAATAATGTGCATAATTGAAAATATAATCTGTGAAAGATTGCTGAAAGTGCTGAGATTACAATATGAAGTTATTGTGGTGATCTGCGTCGTCTTTGCCTTCTGCAGACACGAGAAGCCCAAAATTAAAGGAGCGGGCAGATTAATTATCACATCCGTCATCGCCGAGCGCAGTCTCTTAAGTATTTTGTCCATAATTTATTCAATCTGTCATATCTCCTAAATTATGCATCTTCTAAACACTTCAGCGCTAACAGAGGCTTCCATGACATTTTCTGTGCATCTATAAATATTTTATAGACACTCTATTTTTAAACTTTTTTTTTTTTTAAGCTTTATTTACACTCCTGTTTCTATTGTATTATTTTGTGACGGAATCAAGTATCTGCTTTGTCTTTTTGCTTTCAAACAGAAACAAAATTCACTTTGGATCAAGCAAATTATTTAAAATAAAAAAAAATTTTCTTTAAAATTTTCCATTGCTGATTGAACCTGTTGGTTTAGTGTTCAGTGCACGTGGGTACTTGTAAAACCAAAGCAATACTTTTCAATTTAAAGTTCATCACATCCAAATGTGTGCTGTAATTACCAATAAGCTGTGAATTGTAATTTTATTTGTTTTTGTTTTTTTTAAATAAAGGATGTTTAAATATGACATTTTGTCCTTTTGTTCTCTGGATTGCTGTGATATAACATGGTTGGCAATGCAGGAACAGAATCCTTTTTGTCCTTTAGGTGTCAGCAGAAGAACGCGTTTGCTGTCAGCAGCGCAGGTCCCAGACCAGTAATGGTTACTGGTCGCTACAAGCAGAGGATTGAACGTGTAGAAATCACATTTCTAATACGAAGAAGACTGTTTTAATCTCACAGAAATAAGCAACATTTTCTCAGCAATATTGCTGCCCACGTTAGAACTTGGGTATTCCTGATGTCTGGGTTGGGTAAAAACAGGGAAAACGTCGCAACCTTAATTACAGCTTTAGTTATTTCAAGGGTCTATATGTACTGCCCCGAGGCATGCTGTAAAACCGCATAACTACAGAGCAGCTGTGAGTTAATTGTAAGCCATTATTTTGTACTTTATTTTATGTTCAATCCCAGGACTTTCTCCTGTCGTGTGAGGACAAGGTTGTTTTAAGTCCTCCAGAAAGCAGTAAAAAAATTAAACCATCAAAAAAAACCCCAAACAATTCACCTTTTAACAAGCAGAATAACACATTTTTTACCATCTCTATCAATAATCCTGCTCTCATCTTGTAGGAGCTAGCCTTCGAGATGTCTTTATGCAACCTTAAAGGTCATTCAAAAGGAAATAAAAATGGCCAGAGTCTGAATTGCTATTCAATGGTGTGGTTTGTAGGGGAATAAAAAGACGGCATACAGTGAAATGGGATCTAAGAGGCACTGGTTTTTATCTAAACTTTAATATTCATTGTATTTACCATATTTAACATTTATAAAATGTGTTCTAACAGAAGAAATAATCACAAGATCACACTTATATACAAAATGTAAGCGTTCCTTGTCACTGCAGGGATAGTCCATTTCCATTTCTGTCAGATATAGGATGAAATTTCTCCTTTTGAATTCCTGACAGCTCCTTGCATCACCCTGCACTTATATTTTTCTCCGAGGCCTCAGCTGAAAAAAATAAAATAAAATGAGCAGGAAAATGGCAGATATTCAAAACCTAACATCTGTGGCTAGTGAGATTACATTAATTTTTATGGGTAATGCAGCAAGCACATACAGGCTGATTGGTAGTTTAAGCTTTTAAAAACATAGGTAGGTCCCCTATGTAAAGGGAGCTCGGAGTAGGAATCCCAGGAATGTGAGCTACATGTTGTTAAGAAGGGAAGTTGTCCCGTCTGCTACAGCACAGACCTGCCGCCCACCGTGTGGTCATGTGACACCTCACACAGGCTGCTGCTGCTGTAAAGTTATCTGTGTTTTTTGATGAATGCAGAATTATCTGAAGTTGTGTTTTGCAGTGAACCTAAACACACTGTCTTCAGGATTAAAAAAGCCTTTCCACATCCACTTTAGGCTTTTCCATTTAAATAAAACTCTACAGCAATAAAGCAGCCCTGTATTCATCTCAACACACCAACCCCTGTGTGACTTCTCTGAGGATAGCTACAATTATTGATGACAGAGGAGAAGATTGTTATGCATAGCCTGTACAGGATGCCATCAGAGACTCAGATTGGGAACCTTTTGAAAATGTCAAAGTGACACATGATTATGAATATTAAACAGCCATGTATAGCCCATGATTACTTGAAAGGAGGAGGGGATTTGGCAGATGGAGACTGGAATCTCACTGTGAGCCAAAGTGATGTATGGTAATATTGCGGCAACAGAATACACCTATCAAATTAACGGGAAAAATGATGTTGTCATTTGTTAACATGAAATTCTGTATCGTGTAAGGTATTCTTGCATTTCTCAGACACTGGAGTGTCTGCCACCTTCTGTGTAGGAACGAATTTGGTTCACACTCTGCACCAGCGCATTGCATGATACCTATTCTGACACGTGTAAGTCCAAACTACAGCTTGAGAGCACACATCTGCAAAAACCTCACTCAAGATTAAAGGTGCTTGTGATATAAAACATGCAGTCCCATGTCACCGATCTGGATTAGCATATACGCTGACCTTTCTAAAATTTCTTAGAGGCTTGTACTAGCAAAGCATACAAAAACTTGTATCAGTCCTGAATAATTCTCTCTTTTGGGTGTAACAGAATGCAATTAATTTGCAAAAGAAAATAATGAGGAGCTCACAGCTAGTCTTTACCGGCTACTGGGTAACCTCATGTACAGCCCCCACTACTCTACTGCAGGAACTTAAGCAAAACAACAATCTAATCCCCCCGGTTGTTTTCTTCTCTTATTATAATGAACTAAAAGCAAATTCCAGCCTTTAGGATTTGCTAAAGTAAACGAAACACAGATTTCTTTGTCACAAGATAAAAAAGTGTGAGCAGCATCTGCCATCTTACTACTACAAATATTTCAAGAAAGAACTGGATATTTCTGTTCAAAATCACACTCGAGCTCCTATTTAACCATTAAAAACAAAACACAGACACATGGCCAAACAGATGAAACGTCTGACTATGATGTGGCTGACAGCACAGGACCCCATTCTGGTTGAGTTGGTCCTACTAGTTCCCTGAAACAAAAATCCATATCGGCAATGCTTCAAAGGTTGTCCATCCCATCTCTGCTATCATAAACAATAATCTACTTTAGGTTATACGATAAAACATAGACAATGCTGTTGTAAGTTCCAGTTTCTTATTTGAAAAGGATGGTGCAAGAAAGAGCCTTAAATCAAATATGCATTTCTAGGTGGCTAAGGGAAGTCTGGTAAGTTCCTGCAGTGGAAAAAAAAGAGACTAGTCGTGAATCAGTGAATCAGTTTATATTTCCCTTTGCTTACTTGTGCTCTTAAAAAATTGTGTTGTCCTCTGTCCTTTTTTACATAAACCAATAAGAATATATATCCGGCTCTGCCACAGTACCTGTTTACGTTGCTGCCACATCTGCATCTCCAGAGGTGGCTTTAGCTGATAAAACCTTCCCGCTGCAGTAATACTCTTCCAGCTTTTTGATTGTAATCCCTCCTTTTTTCATGGATCAGCTCATCTGAGCTGTGTCAGTCTAATGTGCTCAGTCATGTGTGCAAAATGTTAAAGTGCGCATGCAAACACATAAACAAACACACACACACGCTGGGTCCCCACTGTAAATAGCTGCTGTACTTTTACAGTAGTTCTGAAGGAGATGAGTTTGCAAAAAAATGTGTAAAAAATTCTCTTATTGCTTATGTCAGCTTTAAGTAAGGATGCTAACCAAGATGAAGAGTGGATGGTGGGCAGAAATGAGTCGAATAGGAGGAATACTTAAAGCGCAACCATGTCATATGTGAAAACATAACCCAATCCTCATCCGTAAGCAAAGCATGTTTGTGTTGTCTCAGACATCTTAAAGGAAATGATGGATATAATAGTCACAATGCATTCAGTCCGTTCTTGTTACCTGGACAAAAGTATCGATGTCTGGCAGTCTACGTATCTGCAGATTGTAAGTGTACAGTAATTGCTACAATCGTGATCGCTATATTTTCTTATAAAAATTGTCTCTAAAATGTATAAATAACTAAAATTAATAGTACATAAGATATATATTAACTAAAAATAAACAACAACCATCGAAACAGAACCTTTAGAACTTTCTCATTTTTACGTTGGACTTTATGTACAGGTACAATGCTACTCTCTAACACCTTAACCACAAACCAGACAAAGTGTATCATGTGGAAAGATGCTGATAGATCTTCTAAGCCAAGGTCATATATTTCAGCCTAAATAGTTCCCTTCATACTTTGGATGGTGAATAAGGTATGCTTACTGAATTATTGTCATCTTGTATACAATATAGAACATATAATAGTATCTCTTTAAATAATTACATAATATATTGTGTAGATGACTTGATATGGTACACTGTGTTCTCCTCGAAGTAAGAGAAACAGTTTCAAGAGACATACATGGAAGGATACAGATGAAAAAAAATCTGAGATGCTAGCTGAATAAATAAATCTTTTTTTTTCTTATTTCTTTCTTTTTTTGGAATATAAACTGGATCAAGGTGACATGCAGTCCTCCTCTTGTTCCCTCGTAGTGATCATGTACCAAAAAATTGGTCCTGAAATCACAAAGTGTCTTGAATCATAACATGAAGCGGGGCGATGTTGAGTGGGATCCCATCCAGAGACAGAGAGAGAGATAGAGCAAAAAAAAAAAAAAAAAAAGGAAAGGAGAAAGAGCCGTGTCCGTTTTGTGCCTACATACTGTACGTACAAGTGGTTTGTTAGCAGCACAAGTTTGGTGTTTGACTTTGGCTGTAGCTTTTCACTGGTGACAGCAAAGGAGTGACGGAAATGCCAAGGGTCTGTTATTGGTCTCAACACAGACAGCTCTTATCTTCTGTTGTCACCAAGACAGGAAACAATGGTTGGCTTTAGCAAGCAAAGTCCTCAAACACCCCGTGGTGTCCGGCATGGTGGTGGTGAGGATGAGGATGGGGGTGAGGATGAGGGACGTGGTGGTTGGGGAGAATCGTGTTAGCATAGGCCCCCTCTGGGTGACTCCGTGGCATGTCATTGGGCTCCTGTTGAAAACAAAGCAAAGGGAGTCAGTAAGTATATTTATCATTAAATACAGGGAGTGCAGAATTATTAGGCAAGTTGTATTTT